GGTATTGTTAAACAGGACGCACAACTTCGCGACCAACAGACAGGATTCCGTAAGGATAGATCGTTTACAGATCAAATCGCAACTCTACGGATCATTGTGGAACAATCAATTGAATGGAATTCATCACTCTACATCAACTTCATTGACTACGAAAAAGTATTTGACAGCGTAGACAGAACAACACTATGGAAGCTTCTTCGACACTCGGCGTGCCTCAGAAGATAGTCAATATCACACGGAATTCCTATGATAGATTAAACTGCAAAATCGTTCATGGAGGACAGTTGACAAAGTCGTTCGAAGTAAAGACCGGTGTCAGGCAAGGTTGCTTACTCTCACCCTTTCTCTTTCTCCTGGTGATCGACTGGATCATGAAGACGTCAACATCTGAAGGGAAGCACGGGATACAGTAGACATCTAGGATGCAATTGGATGGTCTAGACTTCGCAGATGATCTGGCTCTTCCATTGCAAATACAACAACAAATGTAGGAGAAGACGACCAGTGTAGCAGCAACCTCAGCAGCAGTAGGTATGAATATACACAAAGGGAAAAGCAAGATTCTCCGATACAACACAGCATGCACCAATCCAATCATAGTTGACGGAGAAGATTTGGAAGATGTGAAGGCGCGAATCGGAAAAGTAAGAGCATAGTACAGTACAGTGTACACATTTTTAACTGTTAATGAATATAATAAAGTTACTTTTGTTACAAACTAAAATTCTGTAGATTAAGGATGAAATGAATCATAGAAATAAGAGAATAATACTGATACATGATTGACATATGTTTATCATAGTATAGTATTTGATTTGATTGACATTAAAAGTACATTTAACTTTAAGAATATTAATTGTAATTAAAAAAACAAATAAATAAACACTTTCATTTGAGAAAAACTCCCATTTATTTGTTAGTAATTTGTGTTTGTTTTTCTGTTCAATTTCTTATTGAATAATAACAATGTGAATTTCTCAAAAAGAAATATTTTCGCAAAAATCTGATTTAATTAGAAAAATTATTTATAGATTACTTAAACAAAGTTTATTACATCATGGGGTTGTGGAGATTATTAAGTATATTGATTGAGATTATGAATCGATTGATGTTAGACTATTATTGAAAACCTGGAAACACTGGACGGTCATCCTGTGCTATTTAAAATATTTTCAATAGATCACATAACTGTAGTTGATATGAACTAATAAATTAACAAATATGATAGGGAAATCAGATGTATATTACAAACGCGGAAAAATTTTTATTGGACAACTATACGTTTTATTTTATTCTGATTGCTTAATGTAATATTAGGTCAATGTACAATCATGCAGATACAGAAAGTATTTGAAATTGGTGGAGATGCTTTATGTTTTATTTTCGAAAAGAAGTTTTTTATTTCAACTGTTTGTCTAAATAATAAAGTGAAACGATTGCTAAAGTTAATATGGTAAATGTACAGAATATTAATTACTAAATTTATTTATTATAATGTTATCCTATCAGGAAGGTGATATGACTGTTGTTTCACAATTTAGTCTGAATAAATGAGTTTATAACTTGCGAAAGAACTCTGTAATCTATTCTAATAAATAATAATAGTGTTTATTTTCAAGAATATAGGAATAATTATTGAAGATCTCATTTTTGTCACACATAGTTGATTGGCTTGCTTAGAATTATTATTAAAATACTACTTTCCTAAGTTGTTACAAGTTGAAAATTTCAGTCATTTCATCACTCAATATTCATTACCGAATGGCTTGTACACCACAAGTATGAACATTTTACCATTGCGTGGGAACTTACTACGCTTATGTCAAGTACTGTTTATCTCTGTGATTCAGACTGTACACTTAAGTGAATTACAAGTATAATTAAATTGCTGTTCAGGATCTGAATACTAACAATACTTCAAACAACCAGTAACAGACCACATACTACTAAAAAGATTATTTACAGATACAACTTGATCAGTTTGGCTTTAGAAGTGTGAGTTATAAAAGGAAAGCATCTGTCTTCCAGATTGCATAAATCTTAACTTGGTATTTAAGTAGGTAACGATGGGAAGTTAGAATTGTTGATTTAGCTTTGACGGTAAAAAGAAAATTAAATTATAAAACATCGATTTGTTTCATATTTAAAGAAAAGTCTCTTAAAATTCCCTCTTGGTTTGTAAAGAATTCAATTATTTATTGTTATTAACATCATTTGCTTTATACGTGATTGGATTATTTGCGTAATGATAGAGCAAAAAGATCTTTGATTAAGTGTGAAATATGGTTTCAAAAGCATAAATAGTAATAGTTTTTCATCAGTAATTAGTACAAACGTTTGTAATTAATACTACTGTTTTATGTTTGAATAATAGTTATCTGAAAAAAATTGAATATTGACTAAAGAAGTTTATTACTCATTCAAAAATTTGAAAAAGATTTTAAACACTTTTGTTTTGTAATTTAACAATTTTGTTTAAAATGCTTGTATATATGTAGTGAAATGAATAATGAAATGCAAATATATTTCAGCGATAGTTATGGAACATTTAAGATAGAGGTTTGCGTTTTTCTTTTAGAAACAATTCAATTTAAAGTATTTTATATTTAAATATCGGACTAATGGAATACTGGTGTTAATTAAGTTTTATTGACTGGGACAATAATTTATTTAATCTCCCACTACATATTCTGTTAACTAACTACCTATGTAACTAAGCACTGATGAGGACTTCCACAATAGGACGAAACGGCCGTCTAGTGCTTCCAGGTTTTACATGGTGGTCTAGCTTCAATTGACTTATGATCTTAACCATTAAAAATAACCAACAACTGATAAATATATGTGGTTTCCTTCTATAGCAACTCACGTTCAATTGAGTTTGCTCTCACCTAATTCGGTTAAGCCCTTTTATTAACTTATTAAACGGACAAAGTCACATGCACTACAATAACTTATTGTACCTTTATTATTGTTATGCTTGTATGAATATGTATGCTCGGCAAGCCTTACTGCCTACGCATTTATTCACGCTACTAGCTTTATTATTAACCGCTTAATTGATTCGATGATTCATTCATTTCACTATGTATATATATGTCCATGTTATTCATATTCATCACTCGCTCGCTCTTGCCCTTGCTCTCTCTCGTTCGCTCGCTTGCCTGTTTGCCTTTCGGCATAACTATTTCATGCTTGCCTAACGCATCTGTAATTCTGGATATCTGTGTGTGGTCATATAATAAACGTAATTAACACTTCGTATTCGCCTTCTGATTAATATACCGTTGGAGCGTTATTTAGTGACGGTTACCGAGACGAGCTATATACGGAGTTTAAGGTATATATCGAACACCGACCACCACACTTCCTTTGAAATAGTAAGCAACGTTTAGTAATTATTATATGTAGTCATTCATTACTGTCATGAAAAATGAAAATGTAGGCTAATTACACTACATTTTCAAAAATAATTACATATATCAGATAAATTTTTATATTATACTAAAAATGTTTGACTAGTTATTGAAAGAGTTGACTAACTAACATAGATTTAGACAACCTGTCTAACCTAACCAGAAGATTTTTACAGTTATTAGTTCTTGATTTCAACACTTAGCATCCAGTTTACATTCATGGGATATTCAGTTGTAATTAAAGTTAAATTATTTTTGATATGACTTGACAACCGGAAATATTGTCAATATATATCAGCTTTTTACAAAAAGTTAAGGCATAAATTTTAATTTTAATTTCGTAAGTGATATTTTTTTTTAAATTGGTGATCTAGTAAGTTAGTAACAAGTGTCTGAAATGTTGATTATCGTAATATTTCATTGAGAAAATAGATACAAATTCATTGCTCCAAGATTCACATCTTCCATTTAACAAATATACCATCGGCTATAAGTCATTTATTTTGATGGAGTTTTGTTCTCCATCAAAATCATCCACCTGAGCTACAAATCTTCTCCACCATCTTATAAGTCATTTATTGCTAGTTAGAGTAAAAAATTTAGTAAGATAAATTTGCACTTGACTAAAGTATATCAAATAATGGTTTATGACGTTATTCTTTTCAGGTTATCGAAGAATCATGAAATTGACGTGATATTACGTTAACTTTCTAAACATCGTGGCATTTCTAAACTTTACAAATGTTAGTGCTTACTATCCATTAAGAAAAACAACATTACCAGTTGTAATGAAATATTTATCAATTTAAGCTTAATACCATAGCGGTTAGAAGTGGAAATCTCGGAACTTGATGATATTCACATGAAGACGTGAATGTAGTATCCTTAGACTCAAAAGTCATACGTATTATCCTCATAGTCCAAGTAGTCACTGGCTTGTGACATTGGGTAAATTTTGTTTCACTTGTAGAGGTTATTCTAATCTTGAAGTTGTTAGTGTTAAGGAATGATTAATTTCCTTTAGCGTATGTGATCCTGCCCTCATTATCTCGATGCTGTCATTAATGCACAAATATTTTAGGTAGAGTTGAAGCAGGGGTTACTGTGTTCGAGTTCTGATATGAATATCAACACTGAGGTTTAGGTTTATCCACCTGACGAGTCCTGAATACACCGAAGTATGAATTGTGTATTTTCATGCTAGCCACTGTTGTAATTTACTCCAAATGCTAGTAGCTTCATGGTGATTTAAAGGCAATCCACAAATAATGCACATATGCTAAACGAGACTGATCAATCCCAGTACTCAACATTGAGAAGTTGAAGATTTAAACAACCCTTACAAATGAAGAAGATTTATTATTCCATTGAAACGTTTAATTAATACGCAAAACAGAAGTAGCTTAATTCTTGTTAAAAATTAATTGCAATGAGTTTAAGCAAACAACTTAGGCAAATAAATGAATGTTTATTGCATCGTAAATATTTACCTTGAACTTGATAAAGGCGAATTTATTATAAAAAGGTGAAAGACAATTACAGCAATCACAAAAATATTGATGTTGAAAAAGACGTTTAACTAACCTTGAATTCTGTACTCTCTGTAATTGTAATCTTAATTCTTGTTTGTTGGCCTAATCTTGGTTGGCCAGTTTCTACGAAACCAAGTGATTTACGTGGATTGAGATTTCCATCTTTAGCACTAGGCGTTTGTGAATTACGCTTTTTCGTTGAACTAGTACGACTTACTAAACTATCTGATCGTTGAGTAATGCGTGCAAATAAATGACTTGGAACTGGAATTAGGGGAAAAAAAATTTACGGATTATTATTGGTGCTAATTTGAAAAAGGACAAATTAATTTTTTTTGGTAAAATTCCTTAGTATGTAGGGGTTTGATTGTTATCTAAAGTTTAGTAGATGCTTGAAATACTTTCTTAAGAGGATAATGTAAGTAGTACCTAGAGGAAATACCTTGGTATTTTTGTTTTTTATACAAAAACAGAAACAGATTTATTATGATTTTCCTTTATTAAATTCTGTCAAACTACTAACATAAATGAACTTGTATATTCAGTTACTTATATTCAATCCATAAAAATAAACATTCTTTAACAGGAAGATACGATGAACATAAATGTATGATTCAGAAAAATGCATATTACTAAATAACAAAGCATTTAGTTTAAAAGTGCTTTACTGCAATATGGAGTAATATGTTTATGGTTGACAAATCTAACAGATTTCTTAATACGGAAAGACTTTTTCAGTAGAAAAATTAGAAATCTTTTTAATTAAAAAGTACACAACAAGCTAAATTTATTGTTTCGAAACAATGTTTTTATGACTATGTATACATTGATGATAATCTGTAACACGAATCATTTCCAATAATAAAGCTTTCTTTTGATCAAATCAGGTTTTCACTATATTTCTAGACAATATTTAATTCGTTAACTACAGTCTTTCTCTGACTACACTAGAGAAACAGGTTTACTTAAAAGTTGTTCCAAATAACAAGCGAAAGAAACAAATATTGTTCATAAGCTAGAATGTTACACAAACAATGCTTTTAGCGAATTATTCAAAGTACAATGGTGATATGGTCTAAAAGGACAAAGTTATTTAATGATTTGAGTTACTGCATCTTAAAGAACATTGAAAATTGACAGAGTAATTTATGAATAATGGACAAATCGTAATCATTGGTAGACACATTAATTATATTTGTAATACGCGTCAATATTATCGCACATCGATAATGAAGCTGTTAAATGTGTGCAGATAATATGCATAAGTTTAGTTAAAATAAACGCTTAGCATAAAACAAAAATGTGATTTTTTTGTTACATAAAACAAACATCACAAAGTTGAATAAGAAACATTACTAACAAGCGTTATTACAGTGTTAATAAGAGGAACAAGTTGTAAATAGTTTATAATAACAGAATGACGAACGGTGTACATCAGAGATCGTACTATAGAACAATGAATAAATAGTATATATATATTATTCATAAGAATATCTTGATGTTTCTAGTCATTTGCTGAGATAAAGTTTAATTTTGCTCATTGTAATTTATTTTATTTATTTATTTTAACACATAGGTATTGGTACACGGAGGCACCAAATACGTATGCGCCACGCGAATCTCAATTGATTTGTGTGAGGGCTGTGATACTGCCCGGATGCCCAAACCGAAGCAGGTGGTTTTCCTAAGGGACCACACCCCGAGCCTTCGACCTGAATGTCTGACCCACAAGGCAGTGGAGCATCGTAAGGAGATGCAGTCCCATGATAGCCGGTGACCAACGATTGGTTCATACGCCATTTGTTCCTTCAGGATACTGGAGCCCATGTGCACCATTGGTTAGGGATCCGGTTAAAGCGCCGGAAATTCGCTTTTCGTCCTCTCATTTTCGTAAACAACACACCCGCCACGAGGAGGCAGTGAATAGGTTTTCCCTGGCAGAGGCTATTTACGCGTGGCCATGTGAGAGCATTTCGAGAGGGTTGGCGGACTCTCCCCACTCTCGGCCGTACCAGGGCATTTGGGGGCACCCATTGTGATGCCTGAATACGTAGACTCCATTAGTTATTTAATTAGTTTTTTATATTATCTGATATAGTCCACTGAGTAGTAAAAAATCGCATCAGACTTATTTCATAAATCTCTGATAGAAGTAGGTTACCAATTAAGACCTGTGCAATATAAATAGATTATTACTTAATAATTCATTAGGATTTAGAATTTCTACGACTTATATCCGACGGCGGTCTATGCTCCTCCACATGGGGCATCGGGCGCAAGTAAGGAAATTATATTCATTTAAAAATAAATAGATAACAAAACACGTTTTATGACAACTTCATAGCATTTCATTGATGCTTAATGTAGTTACTTCTCTTTGCATTGAATAAATAAGTAAACTTTGTGGTTATCTTAAGTGTTAAGATATCTGGAAACGTAATATGTAGCCAACCTAAATTTATAATTGATATCGTGAACCGATTGATGTTAGACCACCGTTGGAAACCTGGAAGCACTGGACGGTCGTTTCGTCCTGTTGTCAGACTCCTCAGCAGTGCTTATCCACGACCCTGCTAGCAGGATTCGAACCTAGGGCTTTCAGTCTTGAGAGCAAACGCTCAACCTACTGGATGCGCACTGATGAGGAGGCCCACAATATGACAAAATGGCCGTTCAGTGCTTCCAGGTTTCCAACGGTGGTCTAGCACTAATCGGTTCATGATCTCAATCAAACACTTAATAATCTACACAACCTTTATATTGGCAATTAAAATTTACTTAAACTATTAAGGCAATGCAATGCAGTTCATATGGTACGTAGAGAAGACATATTTGAGTCACTTTATCCATCCCGTGTTTAACTGGTAGTCAATTATTAACAGATAATTGTGATTTATTTCATTTTTGTAACGTGCAGATAAAACAGGGATTGTATTAGGATAAAATTCTAGAAAAAAAACATGGCAATTAAGATAACGATGAACCAACATATTTTCAGACAATTTGAAACGTCTAATAACTAAATCAGTTAGAGAAACTATTTCAAACAAAAACCGTAAAATATAACGTTGTTAAACAAACAATTTTCTCGAAAATGTAACAAACCCAATGATATATGCTTTAGAAGTTAGATTTATATGTAGCATATATCTATAGTTATATGTTAAGATATTTGTCAAACAATTAAATTGTGCTTTATAAATATTCACTTTTTCACATGATAAGAGAAGAGAAAAACACATTTTGAATTATAACTTAATCGTAAATGAAAATTACACAATTACATGCACCAATTAATACTGTAATATTTTAGAAATATCATAGAACTTCGGATTCAAATCATATATATATATATATATATATATATATATATATATATATATATATATATATATATATGTCATTTATATAACCATTTGAAAGCATGTCAGTAAAGGAAATAAATACAAATCTAACTCCCTTTTCCACTAAAATGTATCTATATGTGAGTTTACAATTTACAAAAATAATGTTGATAGTGCAAAAAGAAAATAATGTCAGATGAAGATTACTGCTGAGTAAGAAAAGCTACTTTTCTATAGTTAATTCATAACGCAAGCGATAAGTTTTTCAATATAAAAAGATCACAACAAAACACGGGTAATGACAACAGAAACACACAATAAGAATAAGTGATTTTTCTGAGTAGAGTTAATCATGCAAATTAATAAATATTTTCAGAAAAAAAAGTTATAACTGTAAAAACTAACTCAGTGTGTGTGTATAAATGCAAATGTTTGTGCATATCTAGGAAAACTAAACATAATTTAACAAATAAAAGAAGAAAGAGATTGCTAACATACAAATAGGTGTTTGTACAATACTAGGATTATTGTTATTTTAAAAAGAAAATATCTAAAAGGATGATTAGTTAAAAACAAAACGAGTGCTTCATTTAATCTGTGCATAAGTGTTGTGTAATTATGACTGTAAAAATTGTACAGTAAGAAAATACACAACTACCAGCGAAAAAGTATGAATAATTCAAATCTAAGCTTACTTGTTTCCCATTCATTTATAGCTACGTGTTGAAGTTTTGAAGAAAAAATATCAATATTATGTTAGATTAAACAAAAATAAGATATAACGTTGTTGATGTTACAAAACTGTGATGACTTCAGCTTGAAATGTGTATTACACATGACACACAGTTAAATAGTTAGTTTATTTCTCTTCAACAATAAAGTTAAGAATTCATCACATTTTAATCATTAAAAATATTTAATAATAAAAGAAGAGCTAATATTTAAATCAAATAATTTTGTTAGATTCAAAAACGTTTATTTTAAATAAATTTATTTTAGAAAATACGAATATGAAAGTTAAGCACAAATTAGTTACGTAACTTCACAATAATTTTGATTGTTATACATTTTGGAAATCAAAACGAACTAATACAATAAATCACTCTGAAAATATTTGGTATTAATTAAAATATCCTTGTAAAAATAAAAAATATATTATTTGCTTTAGTGGAATCCAGGAAGAAACGCGTGTTCTAGATTCCACTGCTAGCCACTTTCTATCTTTGCATATAAAGCTTGTAAATTAAGGTAATATCGAGGTAATATGCACAGTATGCACATATACCAATAACAGTCTTAATCCTCAATGGGAAGATTCAAGCAAAAAAACCAAGTGAAATACTTAATTACTTTCAAAAATGAATAATTAACTTTAAAAGTTAAGTAAAATTGAAAAGATAAAATTTTATTTTAAATGATTGATCTAAAATAATTAAATAGATAAGTTTATCAGAGTTTAACCAAAATAGCGATAATTGGTATCACTTACTAATAATGAGTATATAGTATAGTATGTGTGTGGGTACTCAAAGCTTATAAATGAATCTTTAAAAACAGTTATAAAGCATGAGAATTAATGATATTGAAAGTCATTTAAAAACTTCAATCAGGTTGAAATATTATATGATTATCAATTAGTGTTATAAATTAAAATTGATTTACCATGAGATGCATGTGATTATTTACTGAAAAAGTTTTATTTTAAACGGAGATAAATGTATGTTATTTTTTAACCTTCTCCAATTGATCTCATTTTCTTTACAATACAATACAGTATTTAAAATGTTTGACGATAAGTGTTATGTTCACATATAAACCTGTTGAATTGATCAAAATGGTTCATAATCGACTGTTGAACAGTTTGAGCCCTTATGTTCTGACATTTATTTACGGGGAAATAAAACGGAACCTTCTTACTTATTATTTAACTTTATCATGAACATATTCCAGATATTGTTTGAAAGAATCCTGAAATAAAGGAAATAGTACCTACTCGCTATTGCCGAATTCAGATATTTTATGCAATTATATAACCGATTAACACTGGTAAATTATCAAGGATTTGACTCAATCCAGTAATTTGTTTTGATAAGTAAATCAAGTTTTCAAAGGTGTTTTTTATACTCTTTAAAAAAGGAAAATTCGGTTCTAATAGGATCACAATATTCAAATTATTTAAACATTTAACGAATTGGAATGTCATTATTGGTTTATCATTTCTTGTCCTTTTATTTAAATATTAGACATCTCTGTCCATGTCTCAAGTAGTAAACTGAAGTCTCAACTCTCAATCACGGAAGCATTTTACTCTTAAAAGTTTTATGATCCAAATATTCTCTAAATTCTTGTCTAAAATTTTCGCTCAGTTTGAATACAGGAAAATGTAAACCTTAATAGATTTGTGAACTTTCATGTTAACAAAACACAATCATTTCGTATACAAAACGCGCAAATTATAGAAAGTATGTTGACAAATCTCTTATTTTAATAAAACGTTTTACATGACTTTTTTCGAATTTAAGCTTTATAAGTGATAAAATGTTATGATTTTACCGTGTAAATTACGTTTAAATTAGTTGGGATGCATATATTTTAGCATACATTTCTCGGTATTTTAGAAGCTTCAATGGCGATTAAGTAGTTTGTTACTAAATATATCATCAGCGCATACACTTCCTACTCTCAAGGATAAAACATATATTAAGCTTATTTCCCTGCCTAATGAGACCGAGCTGTAAAATTCCGCATGTTACAAGTTAGCTTTCTACATAATAGTCTTTTGGTAGAGTAGTTAGTTTAGATAGTGCTTCTACACACAGTTATTAAGGTTGCTGTTTTTAATACAATCACACAAGCAGTATATTATTTCATTGGGAATAATATTTGTGAGGAGTAAAATAACATTCAACGATAAAATTCCCTTTCTATTTACATTTGCCTCCATAGGTGAATCAAACAAACCAAAAAAATGTGAGGCGCTATATCTACTGTTATGATTTGTGATTTTTTGTACATTTTTAACTGAATTGTATGGCGATGCATCCACATCCAGTGTGATCGCAGAATAAAGTCTCACTGATATGACTTTGGAAGGTCACATAATTATGAGTCACTGAAACAGCATGACTTTATATATCTGAAGAGGTTGCGAATAACGGCCAACTCATGCGCTTAGTTAAAGCATTGCATTTTGAAAAATTAAAAGAGGTTTTCACAAGTATATAAATAACTCTGACTAGGCTAACTAAACAACATTTTCAATGAGATGAAATAAATGAGCACTTTAGTTTTATAAGAACAGCATTTGCTAAAGAAATAATATTTAAGGGAGACTAAAAGAAATTATTGATTTTTATAGGACAGTATTCAAATACATTTATAGCATCAATTTCGTTTAAATACACATATTTGATAATCATAGGACGTCCTACAGTAGCGTATATATGTAGAAAAATAGACAACAATCAATAAATACTCTAAAATGGCATGTAACATTGTTTTAAGTATTACGTCATCCGCATTGTTGCTAACCAGTGATAAGATTTACTAATCTGGTGTTTTTCTGACTCGTCTCTTAGGATTACATAATATTTTGTTCACTTATAGTGATGTCAGTCTCAACGGTCAATTTAATTTTGATTCTTGACTGTATTCTCTGTATCAATTCACTTCCTGTGTAAAATAAAATGTCAATTTTTCCATATTTTTCCAAGGTTAAATAAAAGTCAGGTGAACTAAGTAAGTGATAGAATGATAATATTATTTAAAAAGTCTTAACATGCGAGTAAGTTTCATTTTAGTTTTGCACAAAAAGCTGATAATAAAACCTTTTTTTTTTAATTCTTGTTTCCTAATTAGAATCATCATAGAAGTGAAAAAGTTCGGAGTTAGTTTGAAATATTTATTACATCATTAAGAAACGCTGGAAAGCTATTAGTAAGAATCCATTAGCTTAGTTAGTTCTCAGAATGACAATATTTATGAAATTAAAATTATCATGCACGAATATTTCATAGTTTTGCTATTTAGAACAATCACGTATTTCACAAAGATTCAGTTTTCATTAGAATTATATTTACAGTGATGGTTAAGATTGTAGAGTTCACGAGGCTAATCAGTAAGGTGGAAGAAAGCGAATCGTGAATGAACTTAAATATTAAGTGATCTAGTTGCTAAGTCTGTTATGCCTTAAGATAGCATAAGCTGCTATTACCAACTGAAATAATCGGTGATATTCAAAAAAATCTAGTTATTCATTGTTTAGGGGGAGATTGAAGTGATATATTTCCTTCTATGTATTCTTCTGGAAGATACTAAAATAAAATAAACCATACGAATGATTGATATATGTTTATCAACAAAAATTTTCTGTTCCAAGATTATTTTTTTATTTTTTGGGCATTCATGTTTTGATAACCAGTGCTTATAATAAAGGAGAACTACAGGAAGTGTACGGAATAAAGATTAAAATCCAGCGGAAACGTGATACGACTATGTTTTTGTCATTTCATAAATGAACAGTCTAAGTATGTCGTACGCTGAGATTAAGAAAGATTTAGACTTGATACACCTGATAAATGAAATGAAAACATTTAAAACCCATCATTTTTGATATTCATGGGTGTAGTACTAAGGTAGATTGACTTATAGAAAAGTACCGAACAGGACTAATAAGGAAATATATTGTACGTTGAAATCTGAAAAGATTTCTTCCTAAATAGGAAATACTGAATCACTGGTTACCATAATATGGTTGCTAATAACAACAAAAGTCCCAATAACTTCTTGTACTTTAATTACATTATGAACTGTCATTTATTTTCGAGAAAAGCCCTAGTAAGTGAAAGGAAACTCAGGAATCAAAAGTCAGATTTCCAGTACAATAAAAAGCAATCAAAGTTAAATAATTAAAAGTTACATTAAAATTAATGTACGATGTTGGAAAGTTTGAGAGGCAATAAGCATTCCATAGAATGATTTTGTAAGGTTAACTTTCCTACAAATGAAATTTCAAGAGACCCTATTTCTTATGGATGTAGATATGAAAACAAGTATACAAGTCTTTAGATTAAAGAAGCTTTATATGTTTTGTAATCTGTGCTATTTAAAGAAAGTCGTCCAAAAATTTTGTTTTCAATATAAAGAAGAATAGTCAGTTGATAACGTAAGACAACTTGCATTTCATTTGACAAACCATGAGGACAAAATAAGTTCAATAGCACAATGTAAGTAACCCTATGGGATTTGATTTTAATTCCACTTAGTTTTGATCAATCGGTTGCTGAAAATTATTATGCTTTCAATTAATTTATCACCATGAAAAAGTCTAAAAGTAATTGGAATCATTTACAGAAATATAGCTCTATTCATCATAAGAAACATATTATTGTATAATAATAACACTATCATATCTTGATCATTTTAAAATCTAAATTACCAGTTGAAGAACACCAAAGGTTACTCGTTATTTATATCTCATGGTATAAGCTGGTGGCATGGACTTGAACACAAAAGATGCAAGTGACCAATCAGTGAAACATTAGGCATGTTATAGAATTACTAAGGCAAAACAAAGATATTTTTACAGAACGATTCAATACTGAACTAGACAATAGGTAGCTCAGTCAAATTTTGTAAAGGCAATTTATTATGATGATAGAGCATTTAATCTTAACTAATTGCGTGCATAAGCTATGTAACACTGATCTAAAAACGA